CCGAGAAACACCGTGTCACGGTGCATTCGTGCATCAGTACACGAAGAAATACATACATATGTGCGGACGACTATGTAGACTGTGTTCGTGTAGTCTTCGAGTTTGTGGACAGTTAAAGTCGTGTGTGAATTTATTCAAGCCAGGAAAAGCAGGAGGGATAACTTATGGAAATCGTCTTTCCAATTTGATCCAGTGCGACGTTGTGAAAGGAGCGACTCTGTCGTCTCATCTATGTCTAGTTTGTAAGAGAAAGATTGATAGCGCAGAAAAATCCGCCAATAATGTAAAACAGTGGCGTGAAATTGTCAGTCATTCTAATATCTCCCAACCTGTGAACGAAAGGGTTAAGCGTGCTGCCTTGAAATCGCCTGCCAAAACTAAAATGGCGCGTGTCATGTGACTTTGTTTACTAAAGATAGCGTGGGCGTTTGATTGACACTCAACTTATTAGTATTCCACCAATCACAGCTACATCTGCTTTCTGGATGTGCGCAGTCAAATTGTATAGGAGACAAGCTGGAGTCTCATGTGGCGATAGCGATAACACCGGGACGAATGGTCTGGGGTAAATGACGTGAAATCTGGCACCACAAAGTTCAGTTTGTCCCTTCAAAAGCTGCAAAGGGAAATCATTCAAATTTTCCATGTTTATACTCTTAATGATTGAAAGTAACAAATGCATTACAAGGTATTTAATGTTTAATTTATTGAGGGTTTTTTTCTGAATTACAGTTAGAAAGTGAAGCTGACCTGGAACCCCACGATATACCTATTAACATACCGGACACTTTAAAGACCAAGTTAGAAGATGACTGTTATTATATCAACACTAAGAAGCAGGTGAGTATTACTTATTGCAAAATGTTAATTTTTTGTGGTATGATTTTAACCATTTCAACACCAATGTCAAATTTGCTCACTTTTCACAATATAAAGCCACATAAATTTTTTCATATTTTTTCAACAATTTTGATCAAGGCTTGTATCAAATGGGAAATTAAAAATGCATACAAATATGATAAATTTTCTACCAAAATTTCAGAAAAGTCACCGAGTCTATCTTAAGAAATTTATTGAATTTCTATTAGTTTAATATCTCAGCACCAGTTTAACGAACAAATTACGTTTCCTGAGCATTAATTTTGAATAATCAATGGTCGCTAAATTGTATCAAGTTTGTTGTAACAATAATTAATCATTATTTATTGTTATTCTCATTGTAGCTTTTGCGGTTACCAAGGCAACCTAACATTGTTACATTACTTGAAAGTTATGTCAGATATTTTGCAATGAGTGTGCACATCTCTGAGAAGCACCGTCCACAAGCGTCAACAAACGTTGTGCATGGACTCTATCCGCATAAATTTGATGCTCCGCACGTAGTAACACCGGATCATAAGTAAGTTGTTGATAAAGATATTAACACATTGCGTATCACCAGCCGTCAATTTAGTAAGTGCACACCAAGCCAACTGCATCCACAATTATTTAAATTCCTGGCATTATACTGTCAAATAATGTTTTATTGATGGTCAAATGAAACGAACTTTTTGAAGTCATGATGTTTTCGTCACTTTCTACATATATTTTATGAGGGAACATTTGATGAAGGGCACTAATATGGCCACCAATATCGAGGCAACTGCTTTTAAAAAAAAAACTGAACATGAAAAGAATGTTCACAAATGTACATGTATACAAGTAGTGGAAGTTACTTCTGGTGTTGTAAATAAAATACATATAAGCAAGTGGTGTTAAAATATGAACGCAATGTGTAGTTATATTTCAACTGCCCATTTATGAAAAATGTACGTAATGTCTCCTTGGTTATTAGGTATTAAAGCTCATAGCTGCTTTATTATTACCAGTACCTTGTTTACAAGACATTTTATGAGCATCAAAATCGTGGCTGTGTAAACATTTTTACAGATCAAGTCGAGTTCAGCTTCAAATGGTTAAACTCTGATAGGACTGAGCCCCAACATGGCCTGATCGTTTATTAAAATGAGAACATCTTGTCAAGGGTACTGTTCCAGCTTAGCTCCAAGCAAACCGAGCCAAATGTCGAACCATGTTTGGCAACAACTGTATAAACAACACAAAAGATAATCTCCTGTTAATTTTTAGGATAAAATGTTGCCATGTAAACCTAACATGTTTTTATATGTGACTCAATGCTCAGATTATATTTCATACAGATTCCAACTATGTATGTGTGTTTATTTTATCAGCGTTGATTTGGTGAAAGAGATAATGGAAGGACTTAAATTGATATTTGACTTTTCACTCCCTGTAATCTTGCTGTACGAGAGTGAGTGTCATCAATTCACGACAGTTTCCACTGCTGCTTTTATACCTGTTCATCCGGTGAAAAAAGAACGTGAAGACTGTGACGTAACGTGGTAATATCCTATCCTATTATAAAATTGTAGTATAATAATAAATAAGCGCATAGGAATATGTTAAATAACATTGCACATGCTGTATTTGCTTCATTAGTAGTACAAGCATGTATATGATAGATTTATCTATTCGGTATTATATTTAAATAATCCCCTGCAATTTTTTGGTTTATATGCGCTTCAATTGAAGATGCGCTTCCAGGGTTCATAGTGTTGGGAAAATCCTTTGAAAGTCTTTGGATTTTTTGAGGTCTGGAAAGTCTTTAAATTACAGGAAAAATAAAAAAATCTTCAAAAAGTCTTTAAATTTCTTCATAGATATTAATTCATTTTAGAAAGGCCTGTTTTTTCCTGGGAACTACCATAGCCTCAGAACTTTGATGAGCTTTGGTGATGATGTTGGCCTGAATTAAGGGTCAACATGTTTTGGGAAAAATGCAAGAAAGTTTGGGAAAAGTCTTGGAAATCATTTGGTTCTTGGTGCTATGGACTCTGGCTTCTAATAGAGCAGATACAATATTTATATATTATAATTTTGATTTGAACAAATCATTATTGGGTTGCCTAGGTGCCATTAACATGTGTGTAACATGCACATTCTTTCATTCTACCTAGTGTTTGTACCACAAAGGAAATATTGGCTCAGTATTTTTTGGATTAAAAAAATATGCTTAAAACACAGCTACCGGTAATAGCTTGTATGATGTGTTTTTACTGCAATCTATGAATTATAGAAATGTTTATGCTGTGAGAGTAGATTGATTCTATTGAATACCAAAGTCAACTTTTGTGTCATATTTGACGAAATATCGATACCTAAATCACATTTTCTAAAACTTTTTTTTGTTTAAATGGGTGTTTTTTTTATATTCTGGGTTAGGGAGAAAAGTGCACACTACTTTCATAAATGTGATGGTTTGCTGTTAACATGATAGTATAATTAATGTTTAATCATGTTATGATTGATAAATGACAGGGATCCAGAAATAACGTTTAAAAGTACGACACGTGGTAAAACCAAAAGATCAGCAAGCCCACCCCAGCTAACAAGTCTGACAACAAAGACGGTGAAGAAAGAAAAAGAGAAGGAAGTAGAAGAGCCAGAACCAACATCAACGAGAAGAATCACGCGTAGACAGTCCACAGAATTAAAATTAACAGATAAAATTGTTGCTGCTTCGACTGGACGGAGTTGTTCACCGCTAACAGGAAGAAGACGCACAGATGCTAAGCATACAAGCGATTCTCCATCTCTTGATAAACCAATGCGGTCATCGGCGAGGCAGACCCATCAACCCATGGTGGCAAAACCAGTTACAGGACAAAGTGGTCAAACTTTTCAACAGACATTTCAACAATCGGTATTTGGTGCAAGTAGTCATCAAAAGGAAAGCTCTTCCAGCATTAGTATTGGCTCAAGCCCAGGGGTTTGTGAAATCAGTAGTTGTACTTGGAATTTAAGAGACTGTACCGATGTTATGGGGTGGACATTATTACCCAAGGATTTTGCAATTGATGGACCTACTCCGCCGTCGTTGATATATGGACCCATGCATCTACTTAGAATGTTTGGTATGCATTATTTCTTTTTTACTTTCAAATGATCAGAGATTGCAGTAGAAATTCCTACCAGCATGCCCAAGCTCAGTGTAACATGCACAAGCTCAGTGTAACATGCACCAAGCTCAGTGTAACATGCACAAGCTCAGTGTGACATGCACCAAGCTCAGTGTAACACGCACAAGTTCAGTGTAACATACACCAAGCTCAGTGTAACATGCACCAAGCTCATTGTAACATGCATAAGCTTAGTGTAACATACACCAAGCTCAGTGTAACATGAACCAAGCTCATTGTAACATGAACCAAGCTCATTGTAACATGCACAAGCTCATTGTAACATACACCAAGCTCAGTGTAACATGCACAAGTTCAGTGTAACATGCACCAAGCTCAGTGTAACATGCACCAAGCTCAGTGTGACATGCACAAGGTTAGTGTAACATGCACCAAGCTTAGTGTAATATGCACAAGCTCAGTGTAACATGAACCAAGCTCATTGTAACATGCACCAAGCTCAGTGTAACATGCACAAGCTCAGTGTAACATGCACAAGTTCAGTGTAACATACACCAAGCTCATTGTAACATGCACCAAGTCAGTGTAACATGAACCAAGCTCATTGTAACATGCAGCAAGCTTAGTGTAACATACACCAAGCTCAGTGTAATATGCACAAGCTCAGTGTAACATGCACCAAGCTCATTGTAACATGCACCAAGCTTAGTGTAATATGCACAAGCTCAGTGTAACATGAACCAAGCTCATTGTAACATGCACCAAGCTTAGTGTAACATACACCAAGCTCAGTGTAATATGCACAAGCTCAGTGTAACATGCACCAAGCTCAGTGTAACATGCACCAAGCTCATTGTAACATGCACCAAGCTTAGTGTAATATGCACAAGCTTAGTGTAACATGAACCAAGCTCATTGTAACATGCACCAAGCTTAGTGTAATATGCACAAGCTTAGTGTGACATGCACCAAGCTCAGTGTAACATGCACAAGCTTAGTGTAACATACACCAAGCTCATTGTAACATGCACAAGCTCAGTGTAACATGCACAAGCTCAGTGTTACATGCACAAGTTCAGTGTAACATGCACCAAGCTCAGTGTAACATGCACCAAGCTCAGTGTAATATGCACAAGCTCAGTGTAATATGCACAAGCTCAGTGTAATATGCACAAGCTCAGTGTAACATGAACCAAGCTCATTGTAACATGCACCAAGCTCAGTGTGACATGAACCAAGCTCATTGTAACATGCACCAAGCTCATTGTAACATGCACCAAGCTCAGTGTAACATGAACCAAGCTCATTGTAACATGCAGCAAGCTTAGTGTAACATACACCAAGCTCAGTGTAATATGCACAAGCTCAGTGTAACATGCACCAAGCTCATTGTAACATGCACCAAGCTTAGTGTAATATGCACAAGCTCAGTGTAACATGAACCAAGCTCATTGTAACATGCACCAAGCTTAGTGTAACATGCACCAAGCTCAGTGTAATATGCACAAGCTCAGTGTAACATGCACCAAGCTCAGTGTAACATGCACCAAGCTCATTGTAACATGCACCAAGCTCATTGTAACATGCACCAAGCTCAGTGTGACATGCACAAGCTCAGTGTAACATGCACCAAGCTTAGTGTAATATGCACAAGCTTAGTGTAACATGAACCAAGCTCATTGTAACATGCACCAAGCTTAGTGTAATATGCACAAGCTTAGTGTGACATGCACCAAGCTCAGTGTAA